AGAAAGCACAGATTGGGTTTTTCTAAGAGCCAGCTTGATGGTAATTGTTTCCTCCTGTTTAATCCCCTCAATGAAAACTGACCAGCCATCAGAATCATGCTAATTCTGTCTTAAAGTTTTAAGTTGTCTGATGTTTTGGACAATGTGAGACATTTAAAAAGTTATATTGTGCTCCCCGGGAATGGGATTGGACATTTTTCTTAGTTTTTCTGTGTTTTCTGTGGCAATTCTTGGAATGAACGATGGAAATAAAACAGACTAAACAGTATTTGGGCACTTGTGATGGACATAAAAACCTTCAGGATCAGGATTACTTGTGAGACGGTTTTCCTCACACAGTTGAGGACACATTTTTAACTATCGGTGAACAAATATCCTCTAGTGAGCCACAAAATTGATCCTTTCACAACTGAACGAACTGCAGTGAGCAGAAAAGTTGTGTTCTTCTCGTGACTCTCAAACTCAGCCACAAACTCAGCCTGTGACGTATCCCGTCTAGAAATGTGGAAGTAGAAAAGTCCAGCCTCATGCTAAGAGGTTTCCCGTTTCCAGTGCATGGGTTCGCTCCATATTGTCCGAAAGCATTCGTGTCAAGTGGACTGTAGACCCCAGATTGGCCCCCAATAGTGACTGTGAGTGTGTGTGGCTGTTTGGATCTGACCCCAGTGGGAAAAAGAGGCATAGAAAACGGACGGACGGATTTTAGGGAGGTAAATATACTCCTTGTCTAATGTATTTTTGGGCCCACCGTTTGGTTTTGTGTGATGGAAGCTCCTACCACCATTAAGGTGGAGGTGGAAGCCCTGGAAGATACCATTGTTCTCAAAGATTGAGGGAGGGGGGGTGTTCATTTTGAAGCTAAGTTCAATTGTGCCTAAGTTATTTTGTCATTTTGATATATTTGTATTGAGGTAAATATGATTTAGCTTCTATTTTGTTAGGTTTTGTTAGGTTATTGTATTTTCTATTATGTTCCTCCCCCATGTGGGAAGTTTAGGGCAGTCCACCTCTATTTGGTTTTGTGTCTGTAGGTCAGTTTAGTTTGTGTTTGGTTTCTGTTCAGTTGACCTCAGTTGGGATATTTATACTCTGACTTGCATTGTATGGAAGTATGATATTTTGCTATAATTTTCTGATATTATTAAATTGAAATTTTTCTAATTTTTTTCATTTTTGGAAC